CTTTCTCTCGTCATGTAATGTTTGACGAATCAGTTTTTCCATTTGCAGATCCGAAGACCACTCCGGCAGCTCCACAAGACTCAATATCACCTATATTTCTCACTCCAGTCTCGGTACACAGGCATCAGTCATCTACTATCCACAAAGTAGTCCAGCCTCCAGCCTCCTCAATTCACCCAACTAGTCCAGCACCACCGTCCACTCGTACTTCTTCCTCCAATCTGCCCTCATTGCAGAATCAACCGGCAATTCAGCCACCAACTCATCCTATGGTCACCAGAGGTAAAACGGGTTCACTTAAACCTACCAAACGACTAAACCTGCTTCATTCCACGTGTCCAACAGATGAACCTTTAGCTCCCTCTACATATACCGAAGCAAACAAATTTCCCGAATGGCGTCGTGCTATGGCTGACGAGTTCATTGCCTTACAAACACAAGGCACATGGAGCCTTGTCCCACAACCGCCGAACTCTTCCGTTCTGGGATGTAAATGGACCTATCGACTCAAGTTTCACTCTGATGGCTCGATAGCCAAGCACAAGGCGAGATTAATTGCGTAGGGAAACCATCAGGAATATGGAATGGACTATACTGAAACCTTCAGCCCGGTGGAGAACTTCCCACCATTCGTATTCTTCTCACCGTGGCATTACACAACGACTGGCCTATACATCAACTTGATGTATCAAACGCTTTCCTTCATGGATCGCTCTCAAAAACCATGTACATGAGTCAACCAAAAGGATTCGAGGATGCTACCCATCCAGAACACGTTTGCCTACTTCACAAAGCTATTTACGGCCTCAAACAAGCACCGCGCCAATGGTATAGCACGCTAACCTCTTTTTTAGTCTCTCTCGGGTTCAATCATAGTACCTCGGATCCTTCTCTACTTGTCTTTACCAAAGGCAACATAAAATTGTTTTTACTTATTTATGTGGATGATATTCTTCTAACGGGAAATGATCAATCTGCTCTTAGTAAGATCATCACTCAGATGCAACACAAGTTCAAAATGAAAATTCTGGGACATGTAAATTCGTTTCTCAATATTAACATAACCCGGACTCCGGATAGCAACTTCCTCTCCCAAAAGCTGTACGAGTCTATACTTCAAACAGCTCAATTAGCCGCCTGCAAACCTCTCTCCAACCCAACCTGCAATAAACTACCGCAAGTATTTAACTCCGATCTCGTGCTTGACGACCCAGCCATGTACCGTCGCATCACTGGATCACTACAATACTTGACATTAACCCGACCCAACATCTCCTTCAGAGTTAATTTACTGTCCCAGCATATGCATCAACCTCAGCCTAACCATACCTATCTTCTAAAAAGATTGCTCCGATATATCCAAGGTACGCTAAATTACGATATTCCAATTCTAAAATCTAACTTACGGTTATCGGCATACTCTGATGCAGATTGGGCTAGCGACCCCATATCCAAAAAATCCACCTCTGGATATTGCTCTTATCTCGATCACACATTGATCTCATGGACGGTCAAGAAGCAGACAACAGTTGCTCGCTCGTCTACCGAGTCCGAATATCGCTCCTTAGCAGCCCTTGCGGCCGACGTCATATGGATCCGTCGCATTCTAGCAGATTTCGGCATCTCTCAGGACAACCCCACTGATCTATAATGTGATAACACATCGGCAATTGCTTTGGCGAATAATCCCGTATTCCACGCCCGAACGAAACACATCGAGATTGATCATAGATTCGTTCCTGATCACATTCAGCACGGGACAATTCGCATCTTACCGATCAGTACAAAAGACCAAATCGCCGATATATTGACGAAACCACTCTCCACGCCCAGGTTTCATGAGCTACGCCTCAAACTGAACGTCATACAAGACCCTTCAGTTTGTGGGGGGTTATTAGAGAAACCAAATAAAACCTGATATAAATGTATTGCCAAGTATATTGCTTTACATATAGCCAGCTAATTACAATGTCTATAAATACTAGAGCTATTGTACAAGACAAGATACGTGAGAATAAAGTATATTTTCCTTTTACTGTTTCCTCTTGTCTTCTCCGATCATCAGCTTTATCGGAACTCAATCTCTGTGTTTCTACATTAGGGTGGTTAGCAACAAATTGTACCTAATAGCATTACATACTACATACAAGGCCAATAGGCCATCATGACTTCAAATCCATCAAGAAGGTCCCCTAGATCAATCATATCATGGTAGGAATCTAATTATGAAGCCTTGAACTTCATCATCAATGGTTCTTCCATTATCTCAGGCATGAAAGTCGATATTAATGCCACAATCCATGTTAATTGAATATCCACTAATGTTTCAAGGAATGCTCTCTAGGACCTCTTGTTCGATGCTAGCTCAAGCTATTTCCCCCCACTCCCCAAAAGAGGTAAAAGTGCAAGTTAAGCTGAAGGTGAAGGTCACCATAAAACTCCCTCTACCTAAGAAGTCAATGGCAACGAGCCAGCTTGGCCACGGAGGAAAAATTAAGGTTGAAAATACTGCATCACCACAAATTAGGCATGGGTAGCATGCATTGTTCCCTCTCCTACCACCTCCTTGAGGATCTTCTCTTGGAATCATTTCAAGCTTCTTCGTAGTCTAAGCTCAATATTTTCTTTCCCGTGGCCTTGATCTAAATGAAAGAGAGCATCAAATATTAATATAAAAAAATATGATGCTTGTGAGTTACAATATATTTTAGGTTAAGGAGATACTTTGAGTGTAGATCATGAATAGAGAGCTAAGCAATCACAAAACAAGGGAGAAAAGAGAAGAAAGGAATGGCAGTCCTCAAGAGAGAAGCATTGTCTCCCTCCACTGCAATGTACTCATCTTAATGAATACAAAAGAAGCTTTTAAGCTTCTTATGTTAAGATTCATACTACCCCTCTTCTCTCTCTCTTGAAGCTATGGCTTATAAGTTTGTTAAAAAGTGCCCAATAGGGGTGTCCATTCGGGTCGAACTCGACTTGACCCGGACGTAAACGGGTCAACCCGAACCCGACCCGTTTAGATAAACGAATCAGGAAATTAAACCCGGACCCAACCCGTACAGGTTGCTGGGTTGACCCCACTCGATCTGTTAACCCGTTTGACTAGGCAGCACAAGGGCAAGCGAGGCAGTGTCGGAAACGATGCACAGAGGCCGGCGGGGTCGACGTCGACCAAATGGACCAAACGCTGGTTGATCGTAGGCCGACGGCGGTGAGGCTGACGCCCGACTGTGACTAGTCGGAAAGGCGGAGTGCAGACTGGCAGAGTCGCAGAGAGCCGGATAAGTCCGCAGCGGTGTAGCGGAAGACGGAAGTGACGATTCGACTCGACTGGCATGACGCAACCGGCCCTACGCAAGAATCAAGACAGTTGGCATGACGTGACTGTGCAATTTGACTCGCGAATAAACGCGGACGTGGCTAACCGGATCAATTCGGGTTGATCCACGGGTTTTCGGGTCAACCCAAACCCGACCCATTTCACAAACAGGTTGACCCGAACCCAGACTTTTCCGGGTCAGGTTCGGGTCGGGTCAATTTTTGACACCCCTAGCGCCCAATATGATGTCACATGGGATTTTTATGAGTATTAAAAGAGTTGGTACCAATTTAGGGTTTAGGGTTTAGGGTTTCGGATCTTGGATTCCTCTGAGTATTAAAATCCTTTCCTCTATTGAACATTTAAATGCTTCTACATGATAATTTTGATGCTGCTAACTTCCCTTACTGGCTCCAATCTTGTAGTAGTGTGGGCAACGTGCTCAACTACTAAGCCCTATGGAGATGTCTAGCAGTTAGTACCACTTATTGTATGTTGAGCAGCTAGTCTTGAGAGATGGTTGTCAATTGGATGAAATATTTGTGACAATAAGATAATCATTTAGATCCATCATCCTAGGCTGTTCATTTGAGGATCTATAACCAATTCCTAGATTGTGATTTGTTGGAACTACTAATAGTTGTAGCTACAATAGATGTTTGGTGTTGAAAAGGTTTCTCAAAGCCTTTCAAGATTCAGCTCTTCTAGACCACATTAGCGCTCTCAATTATGGGTCTTCCATGACTCGATACAACCGCAGGTTCTCAACTCTTATTCTCAAGATCACTATTTTCTGCATCCCACGATTCTCAGGGTTTCGAGGCCCTCTAGTCCTCATGTGAACCCCACAACCGTCGCATTAGCTTTTACAACCGACTTCACATGGGGCATCATGCGGTACCAACTCCTATGAGCTCGTTGTATTATTTCAGGGTGGTCACGTACGTTAGCTTTTACAGCCAACTTCCCATGCGTCATGAAGTAAACTGAAAGTTAGCCCCAGAGTTTATGTAGTCTTTAAATCTATGTTCTCCACATTTCATCGCTTAGGATCAAGAAAGTCATTTTTCCAAGAACATGACTGACTCAATATGGCCACTCCCCACCTGGGGCGGAGCCACTTGGTTCTTAGGGCAAATTATTGCATCCGGTCACCTGACAGAGAGATCCGTTCTCTGTCTACAGTAAAGCGCAGGTACTGTAGCAGCAGCTATAGTACTTGCGCTTTTACTATAGACAGAGAGAGATCCCTATCAGGTGACCTGATGCAATAATTTGCCCGTTCTTAGGGGGGCAACCCCTCAAAAAAATTTTTATAAGAGTAAATATTTAAAAAAAAATTATAAGAGAGTAAAAAATATATTTTGCTCCTAAAATTTTTTTTTGCCTCTCTAAAAAACTCTTTTGTTCTAATTTGTCCTAAAATATCTATATATTTCTTCACATTTAGTTCTAATATTCTCTTTCATACTTTTTATGACAGTTTAATTCTGCTCCCCTCGCCACTAATGTGATTCCACAAGCAACACTCCAGGTTTCTCTAATTCTAGATCCACCTCTACTGTAGAAGAGGGAACCAAGAGTTACTCCATTGTAAAAGATTCCCAAGACAAAAAAAAAAAAAGTGTACGTTGAAGATCTAAGCATTGAATGTTCCTGAGTGAGAGAGGAGATGGACCTGTAGGTGACGAGGGCCGGGAGTGGACGGTTTCTAAGCAAAAGATCTAGGTCTCGGCGGGGCTCAAAGCTTGCAAGGTGGTCGAGGCGAATCTCGACGACGTCGGCGCCGCGGACCTTCGCCGTCGCCATCTCACTCAGCATCTGCTCAACCGATTTTGCCACCAACGGCACGCACACCAGACTCACTCCGGCCATGTCGCTCTCTCTCTCTCTCTCTCTCTCTCTCTCTCTCTCTCTCTCTCTCTCTCTCTCAGATCAATCGTTCGAAGGAACAGAGAAGCGTTTTGGAAATGACTTGCATATGAAGTGGACAAAGCAATAATAATCAGCTCATTATGCCTTTATTGAACTTTAAAAGCAGCTACCAATAATTTATCGTACTAGTTAGAATAAGACTTGTAGATAATAGAAGTTAAGTAAAAATTATAAGAAAGGTAAATAAATAATTACTTCTTATATCATAGTACAAAGTAAAAGATTTTTCTCATAATTTATATATGCCATAAAAAATAGATATCAAATACAGGCCCTCATAACTCCATGTATTAGCATATTAAAAATATGTACTATGATCCCAAATGCATTTAAAAATTTAGGTTCTTATGATCCCACATGCATTCAGTGCAAATGAACTTCCTCCAAATTCAAAATTTCACGAAATCACTCATTTCAAGCAAATAAGTGCATATATAGTTGCATTGTAATAAAATAAATATAAGTAAAGCAAATTATATAAATTTACAAAGTGTTCTATGGATGGCCAAAAAATTTGAACCACTAAGCAAAATTTTAGGTTTTTAAAATTTTACCAAATTACTAGGGATCATATAGAATGTTGTTTTGAAGATTTAAATATTCTACAATTTTATTTTTTGAGATCAAAATTATTTTTTAATTTGTAAACAATATTGAACTTTCTTATTTACGAGGTGAAAATGTTCAACAAAAATATTAAAATATTTATAATGATCATATCTACAACATACAAAAAATTACATAGTGAAAGTTTCATGGATATAAAAATATCCTCATTTCTATGCTACAAAACTACAATATTAATAAAAAAATATCCCTATTTCTTTATTTTTGAAAAATAAGACAGGAAAAATACATCCTACCTTAATCTGGACAACTTATTAAACTAGACCGACAGTTAAAAAAGGATAGAAGTCAACCGAATAGACTTTCGCTCTCTAAAATCTCTCTCTAGGTCGACTGTCTCACTTAGAGGGAGAAATTTGACAAATATGATTTTTGATGTTTTTATATAATTTTTCCTTGGCACCACAACGCTCTATACAATAGTTTTGAAATGCTTTTAACATAGAGCATGACGTCGCCTATAGAGAAAATTTTTAGATTTTTTGTTCATACATACAAACCCGTGGGACTCGCTTTATAATAGATTTTGTGCATTTACATATTCATAAAACACTCGCATACATGCAAAAAAATAATGTAAATGCTTTAATACACAAACTTAATGGACCGGGTCAGAATTGGTACAATTGAACATTCTTTTAGCTAGTGTGTATTATATGTTGATTTCATGAATGGCATTAGATTTCTAACAAAGTCATCGGCTCATGGGTTGCCTAAGGTTTAGGGGTATTTTATAGTTATAGGCAACTTAAGGTTTGATCAATGGTTAACCACGAGTTTGAGTTATTGGGTTCCTTACCTATATAGGCTCACTAGGAAGTGTCCTAAGACGTTCATGGGTTTTGACTCGATGTAGGCTCCCATTACCCTACTGAAGTTGTTTATTTGGGTAATTATGATAGTCAAATTCAAGAAAGAATTAAATATGACCCAAAAATGATGATCAATCTAGAATTCAACGATAATTATTTAGATAAATGATCATTAATTTTATAATCAAAGTTATGATAATAAAATGATATATCTTCGTAAGGAAAGAAGATACCTTTTACCATCAACCCTTTGAATATGACGATAATGATCGTCATTGATTTTGATTTTCACAAAGAAGATTATTTTTTGAAAATCAATCTAGGTTCTTAAATCTCCTACTAGCATAAGCCCTCGTAGTTAAATATATCATAGGAAACTTTGAATTTCCAACGAATACTCTCGATTAAAATAATGACACAAAATTTATTTGGAGGATTATCAAGGATTGATATTAAAGGAATGATGTTTGAGTTTCAACTAGGATTGGATCAAATTGGAACACCTGTTTCTGGAGGTCAACAGACGATAAGTAGGAAGCATTTTAGGATACTGAACTAATTCAAATATGCCATGTTCTACCCTATGTGTTAGGCTTTAAATTTTCTTTTGAAAAGAAATTTTAATTTGAGCTGATCAATTAATTAAAATATTAGGATAATATTATCAGAAGTTGGGGACTTATGATTTCGGGTATGCCCCGGATCATAAATCTAAATTAGACACTGAACAATAATAACTAGAACCTAACTAATGCAATGAAAATGTGGACTTATCCTAGCTTAGATCGGGGAGCCGACTAACCCCCTCAGCGCTTAATATTTATGAGTTTGGTCTCTTTTATGAAAGAGTGGTATAAATGTTGTTTAATTAAATTTGAAGAATCTTGGTTGACATCTAGAGCATATCATAATTGTCCTTTTAACACATGCAGGGTGATTTGATGCTTGAAAGTAAAATGCAATTAAAATTTTTGACTCTTTTAAATTTATTTCTAATATAATGCATGTTAATTAACTCGATGAATATATAAATTTGAATATGATCTAGTTTTAAAAAGATTGCATAACATTGACTTTTGTTACGTTTAACCCATCTTAATGGCTTGAAACCATTACGAATGGGTATGTTTGCCTTTGGTTGAGGCAGTGGCTCATAATTTGGAGTGGGAATATTGACCCATCCATTAGCTCTAAGCCGAGCATTAGCTTTTCTTCCAGCCTTTCTCAACAGCTTAAAACCAGAGCTAGAGGCTTCAGCATCATGCCTCCTAGGAACAAAAATAGTTTTCTCAGGAACTTCAGCCTCATTCCTCTTCAGATTGGCCGTATTAATGATAATATATTTCATCTTAGGCTCGAGAGCCTTTCTTTTGGCCAACAGGGGCACCTTGTTGTTGATATTGAAAGCCTTATTGTTGGGCTTCTCATAGTGAACAATAGATCTATTCACATTCTGGCCGATAGAATTATTAGTGATTTGTTTTGGCCTTGGCCTGAAAACTTTTTTCTTGGCCAGAGGGGCTGTAGTAGATGCAACCGACAGCCTCGAAAATACATAAGGTCTTGGTGCAACAACATTCTTAGTCATCATCTCCCTGGTTGGTGCAGTTTCACCAGGAAGGAACTCGAACACTTCGGAAACAGTTCTGAATTGCAGTGTGGCACCAACTCGACCAGTGTCTATCACAGTTTGGGGGAACTATACGCGCGATCCTTCCCCAAGCTTGATAGTCATCATGCTTTTCACAGGAGACATTTCAGCAACCTACAATAAAACTTGCAGGGATTAGAGTCAACCTGATTTCTATTATACAAGAAAATATTACTTCATGAAAAAGCACGTATATATATGTATATACATAGTTAATTACCCCTCCTAACGCATTAGAAAAGCACTCTCGATTAAGGATGAAATACACTTAGCTTCATGCAAGGAGTGTGTAAATGTTCAATAGAGATTTAAATTTAGTTATGTGGGAATGAAAGTACACCCGATCAAGATCCCATGGTTCCGTCATCCCGGGCATTACCGTGGGTTCAGTCTACCAACACTAACAATCATTGATTATAGTGTCCAAGAAATCTGATTAACAGTCATGGGTTGCCTCCTCTCAGGAATCCCGAGTAGACTGAAGTGGAGATGTGTGAATTTTAGTTTAATTTAATTTAGTTTAGGTTGGAGCTTATGTCTTCCTTAGAAGCTGCCCGTTAATTTATTTAGTTTGGGGCTTACGGGTCCAATTAGGAGTTGCCCATGTGATTTGATTTGGGCAGAGGCTTATAACTTCCTTAGAAGTTGCCCTAATAATGGGACTTATTGCCTCTTTTAGAGGTGGCCCAAAGAATTTTTGGTTGGGTATGTCTTATGGCTTCCTTAGAAGTTACCTAGTGATGGGTCTTACGACCTAGCCATATAAGCTAAGTGGCCCGAAGGGATTTTAGTTTTGGGTTATAAGGTCGTTCTTTTAGAACTTCCCTAACACACGGGTCTTACTGCTTCACTTAGAAGTAGCCCAAATAACGGGTCTTACAACTTAGCCCTATAGGCTAAGATGCTCATATATGGAGTTTGTAGATTCGTTTGTTAGTTTTGACACTAACTTTTAGTTTTTTTTTACATCTACTTGTAGTAGTTTGTTTTCCTACCCTCACTTTCAGTAGTGTACTTAGTTATTTGTTTTGTACATCTAGTTTTTTTTTTTTATTTTTTTTTTTTTTTGCTATAGTAGCATGTATTTTATTTGGTTATTTTTGTGCTCTTTTTTTATTATTATTATTCCTACTCTATCGTCTCTTTTAAAATAAAGAGCCTTTGATTTACTGTGAGATCACTCATTTGTCGAGCTTCTATCAAGTCAGTTTTCTCCTTGTTCAGATAGTAGGGATCCAGTTTTATTTTAATCCATTTATGTAACTCCTTAGGTGTTGAGCACACAACATTGGCATCTTTCATTTCATGTTCATCTTCAGGAGAGAAAAAAGTAGATAGAGCTTAAAATTGTTCTTCAGGATCAACTATATTTAGTAAATGTTTGAGTAATTTTATCTCTAGTGGTGCCATTTTTTTTATTTATCATATTGTGTTGGCTTTTGTTAATCATCACTATGACCTTTCTAGAGTGTGGAGCTAAGAAGAAGCAACACAATTAAACAGATTCGACAACCATAATTCATCAGATAGAGGAGTTTCAAAGCTATGCCTTGTGAATGATCTTGATTATAGCCTGCTTCTGGTTGTTTCAAGTAGGTTTCATGTTTTTTTCTACTATTCTTAATAACTGTGTGATTGGTAACTGTTGAGCATGCATCTTTATTGTATTTGGCTTTAAAATTATGTCAACTTGTATGCAGGTGAAGGTAATATTCGGATATGGAGAGATTACACTTTAAAAGGCAAACAGAAGCTTGTGACAGCATTTTCATCTTTTCAAAGTCATAGATTAGGTGTTCGGGCTTCAAATGTTGTGGTTGATTGGCAACAGAAATCTGATTATATTGACTATTTCCCACCCTTTGATCAGCTAAATTAGCTATAGTTCAATTAAAATTCTTTACTTGACTTGATAAAAGATTTTAAATTTAAATC